TTCACCAATTTATTTAAAATTCCACTTTTTCTTCTGACACCACTGTTGAGAGTCTTTATTAATTCTAATTTATTGTTTTTATTATTTTAATTTACTAAAGGTTCAATATTTATAACACTCACGAATTTATCAAAGCCTTTATTTATTTTACACTTAATAATTACAAATAATTTATTTGCGTACGATACAATTTTAACCCGATATCCGGGATCTTTTGATTGCTGGCCACAATAAAAGCTCCGTTATTATATATGAAAATACAGCTATTCAAGAGTTCAGGAGAATCCCTCTGGTAATACTAGGCCGGGTCATCATTAGACCGGTTTCTGGAAACTTCGAGCGGCCGTTTCAGGTATATGTCTGCCAGCTGATCGAAGGGTCTCGTCCATTCTACAACATATTTAGTAAATAAACGACATATTTACAGGTTTATTCTAATATGACTAATTTTTACGTAACAAAACACATTGTAATCCGAGTTAGTATTTACATTTACAATGCGTATAGAATCATCACAATTTGTTTATACCTGATCCAAAATATTTCCGCATGTTTAAGTCGACCTTGTAGGTGTAAAGTTCCTGGTGACAATCTATAAGATGCTAGAAGACCAGAAAATCTGTGTGAATTATTTAGTGTTATGGAAAATTATGAATTAATTTGGTTTAATATTTGAATTTAAAATAAGATTAAGTTTTCAGCAAATTAAAAATCCATTTAAAATCAATGTAGTCTCTGAATATTTGACAGAAGGATATAGTACTCATCCCTTCCTTTTTCCTGTTTAAAAGTCATTTCTTTATATTTCACTTTATTTGCGTATTTGTTGGGCGCTTCATAAAAAAACCTACTTACATACATAGGAGAATACTGGCCATCTTTTTGGGTCCACCGCTAACCAAAATTTTGTTTAAAAATTGAAACTTTAAACGATGAATACACATTGGGATGCTTAGCCGTTCTTATGATTTTAAATAATTTGAAATCATCTTCTTTATATTTTCTGTCGTTGTATCTTGTCTACTCTAGTAACATAGAGATTGCTAAATTTTGGGACGCTACTGATTTCGGAGTTCTCATTATTACCTATAACAATACGTCCATTCCTTTTTTATGTCTAACAGTTTTCCATTTTTGCCCACTATTATTTTTAACCGAATTTGTATTCTCAATATTTATCAAATTTTCATCGTTTGTTAAATTAATAATATCTGAACATTTTGCCTCCGTTTGTATTCTTAAAATATCAGCTGTTAATTGTTTAATATTATTATTTATAAGAGCAATATTTTTTGCGAGTGTAATTTTTTTTGTTTTTTTGGGTATTCTTTACTGTTAGCCTGTATCGGTCGTTCAAAATTGAGGTTTCTGTTAGAATGGTTTCTTAAATTCATATTTTGTTGAGTATGGTGATTGGTCGGTTATTTGCATATATTTCTAGTTGTTCTTTCAGTAAATTTATTGTTATTTGTTCATTTAATATTGTTATGCCATTCTGATTAATAATTTTCTTTAAGAACCTGATTTCAGTTAGCCTCGGATTCTCATCGTCAGCCTCTTTATTCAAGATTTCGTTTGCTGGATCCCTTAACCACACACTTTCTTCACAGCATATAACTGTTTCATTCTCGATATATCTAATACATCTTAATTGCTTTAGGAACCACTATGTGATTCGTTCCACATTTCGCACATAAAAGACCACTTTGTGCAACTTTTTGACACTTTTTGCAGCATTTATCTAACGAGTCGTAATACGACCGTTTCTCTGAGGAGCCATGATTGATCCTACATCTAATATATATATATATATATATATATATATATATATATATATATATATATATATATATATATAGAAAAGAAATTTAATCTTTGCAGATAAGTTAAATAGTAAACTCTTAAATATTGGGGAAATCTGCAAAAAAAAAAAAATTTTGCAGATTTCCCCAATATTTAAGAGTTTACTATATATATATATATATATATATATATATATATATATATATATATATATATTGCTGTATTGCCAGATTCCAGTAAGAGCCTAGGAAAGTTGCCTAAGAGCAACGGCGCGTACCTGCTTCCTTGGTGAGAGTAATAAATAACTATACCTATTACCGTAAATCAGAAAATATTTCAGACGTTAGATCATAAACTAATAAATAATATTAACCATAAATTTCAGATCCCTGGTTCAATTTCCTCTTCTGTCCTCCTGCTCCTTTTTCTTCATCGTCCCAGAAATCAGACAGTGTACTTCTCTCCATTCTTTCTCTCCTTTCAACATTATGTTTAGCATGGTTTTTTATTTTTATAATAGAAACATGGTAAATATAAACATTTTATCATTTTACAATATCTATATTTGAATCAAGAAGCTTCTGTTCTGGTAAAAAAACAGGCACAATTTCTATTAAAAGAGGTATCAGACAAGAAACCTCTTTAGGCCTTGGAATGGCAATAATGTGCAAAAACATCAGATATGCAGATGACATAGAAATCATCAATATTTGCAATTCCTGATAGATCAAATTACTAGAGAATGCTCCAATAACGGACTTTGCATAAATACGTTAAAGACAAACTTACTGGTGGTTAGTAAACAAGACGTTGGTCCTGTGCAACTAATTGTCAACAATGAGCTAATTACAAAAGTTAATCATTATAAATACCTAGGATGTTGGATTAAGGAGAGACTAAATCTGGAGGAAGAAATTAAAACTTGTATAGGAATTGAAAGAGTACCATTTATGAAACTTAGATCTATGTATACCGGTACAATTCTCAGCTGAACGTACAATTAAGAAATAAGTTGCTAAAATGTTATGTGTATCCTGTATTACCTTCCCTGTGGTCAAAATGCTCTCTATCCTACTTTCCCCTGCTCTCCTTGCAGGTCTCTTATAATCAGCCATTTTTAGCATTGCTTTGATCTAGTTGCATACAGTAGTGGATGTCCCTTTCGATGCTGCTGTATCATAAAGAAAATTTTATAGTTCATTATTAAATGCACTTGGTTGTTTTAAATACACAATGTGAGTGAGATTAAAATCTCACTGTATATGAGGATATCGGTCAAGGAGAAATAAAAAATGAAAAAACTATTTCAATCTTTTAATAGAAAACGTTTCGTGCAGTATTTCCGCATTTCTTCAGTTCTAATGATTGTAAAGTCATATATAGATGTCAATCAATGTCAAATGCATACGTTGAGTTGTTACAAAATACATTTAATAAATACAATAAAAGTTACAGTAAAAAACACATTCATAGTGTTTTATTAAATTTATACAAACATTAAAAAGTCACAAAAATGTCACAATTTGTTAACAAGAACAGTATAATATAATACAATACTTCGATTCTATCGCTGATGTACAATATATCGAAACATGAAGCCAGGAGAAAAAGTAACTTGTTTTAATTAGAGCTTAGTGAACAATTTGAAAAAAAATATTTTTGTTGAAAAAAGCATGAAAAGTTAACTTTATTGTTAAAGACAGCTAAGTATTAAAAAAACAACTATTTTCGACAGATAGGGAGCTACTACTACGAAGAGAAAAACAAAAATATTATGGCTTTGGAAATTAGTCTTTGTACCAAAAATCAACTAGATGACAAAAATACTCGTTTACAGGACAGAATAGAAAAGTTAATTTATTTATAAATCTAATTAAAAGAAGGTTGGAAATAAAAGGTACCGATGACCATTGTTGGGGAACCTAGAATTAGTGAATATTAATGAAATATAATGTGATATGAATTTGTTGTGGTTCCTTTTGGAAAGGATTTTACATCGGATGTGATGTATGAAAATTGTTAAAGTTCTCGTTGAAATGAATATAGGGATTTAATTTAAAAGTATCAAGGTAGTTTTTTTCCCTTAGAGGACAACAACCGAAAAATTTAGGCCATGTCTTGATTGGATTTAGGTGTACCTAAGTTAAATTATGAAATGTAACATTTACTAGAAAAATTTTAAGGATTATTCAACAGCAAGCAGTGATAAAAAATGATGCTGAGATTATCGATGTCAGCACGTCTGAACAGAACTGTCCATGGAGTTTTTTTCTCTTAATATGTGACACATTTCTAGAAAGGATCTCTTATAGAAATTATTCTCAGTTCCTAGAGATTTAATATTCTCAAAGTCGATTTGGTGGTTAAGAGAGATAGAGTGGGTACTGAGAGCACAAGAGTTCTTGTTGCCTCTGATATCACTTTTATGGGATATAACATGCCCTTTGAGGGTTCTTTTTCTTTGGCCAATATACTTCAAACGAGTGCCTTTGCATGTTATATATGGAATGTTATATATGGAATGTTATATACTACATTTGATTTCTCCCAAATATCTAAAGGTGTTTTCTAAGGTGTATGTAAAGGTGGTATATATATATGTATATATATATATATATATATATATATATATATATATATATTTATAATATCTAATTGATAGTATCGGATCTAGTTGACTATGTGCTGGTCATGTGAGTAGTACTGTAGACTGGAGATGTGCAAGTGAAAGCCAGAGGATCTTCTATTACAAACAAATAGGGCAAGGAGGAATGAATAAGAATATGCAGAGTAGCTGGCAATGGCTGCTCCCAACTAGAGTAGATATTCGCAAGTGGGGACAAAACACATTAACCTGGGTTCTCATCCACGTTTACCTTACTTATGTTTGCTCCGTCGCTTTCATCTCTTAAGAATTCGCAGCCGCGACTGGACAAGAGCACGACTGTCACTACGTTTAGTCGCCTTTTACCATAAAAAGGTAGAAAACTGTGGAAATATTTTTTTTTAAGTCTGCCGTACTCCACACTGGTTACTGATTAATCACTTATGGCTACAATTTTTTAAAGTACACAATTTGGTAATTTTTCATGAAATATTTTATTTTTTGTAATCCCATTCTTATTATTTGTTAGAATATTCTTAATAATAATACCAAGTTTTCTTCGTTTACAATATAACCTAATCACTTGTTTCAGGATAGAAATTAATACGATAAAAAAATCTGTTTTTGCATTTGCTATTATATGTGCAATGGGTATATATACAGATCGCATCATTCTTTACTTAACTTTAATTCCATATGTATATTTAGGCTCGGATTTAAGTGCGGATACTGTATACTTTGTAGCGAGATTGAATAATGAACTTCAAGGAGTGGTAACTATATTTTCTCCGAGAGCTTTCTCCTTCTCTTCTGAATGCATATCATCTATAACTAGGTGAGTATATAAAATTTATGTGTATGTAATAATTGTGTTTTTTCCCTTATGTGCATGTGTTTGTATGCTCACACATGTAAAATTTACATATGTACTGTAAATGTTACTGTTATTACTTTTAGGAAAAAGGTTACGCTGTAACCTGTTCCATTTATTGTGCTCTACATTTTCCTTATAGATAACGTTCTCCTTCGAGCACAGCTGTGTAAGAATGTAGGTATATAGGTTTCATTCTCTACCTCCCAGAATCTACATTTGGTCACGTCTACCACCTTCATTTCAGGTGCTTTCTTAGTCGACAATGAACTGTAATGGACGTCGTTATGGTTTAAACTGTAAACAATATCTGAATCTTATGTGTATATTTACCTAAAAGTATTTTTGATTGTCTCGGTTCTTGTATAAGGAGCTGATCACATGTGATTTCAATGGTTTCATCTTTTCTTTTTTCTTCTTCAAGTGCCGTCTCCATCAATGGAGGTTAGCGGTTATGGTGGCAAACGTTTGTCTATCTTCAGCTGCTCTTAAGAGTTCCTCAAATCCAAGTCCTGTCCAGTTTCTGATATTACGTAACCAGGACAATTTTTTTCTTCCAATTCCTCGCTTTACTTCTATTTTGCCTTTTATTATCACCTGAGGGATGTAGTATTTCTCGTTGCGCAACAAATGCCCTAAATAACTGGTTTTTCTTCTTTTGACTGTTCTCAATAGTTTTCTTTCTAAATTAAGTCTAGCTAGTACTTCTTCATTTGTTTTTCGTGCTGTCTAAGGAATTTTTAAAATTCTACGGTACACCCACATTTCAAATGCTTCGATTCTATTCAGGCTCTTTATTTTTAAAGTCCACGTTTCGACTCCGTAGAGAAGAACAGACCATATAAAACATTTTACAAGTTTTAATCTCAATTTAATATTTATATGTGTATCGCAGAATAGAACGCGCATCTTAAAGAAACTATCCCTAGCTTGAGCAATTCTCGCTTTAATTTCTTGTTCTGGGTCCAGCTTGCAATTAATCCAACAGCCAAGGTATTTGTATTGGTTTACCTGTTCTAAAATATTCCCATTTATTTTTATAGGTAAGGGGATATTCTGTTTTCTTTGGATCACCATTACTTTTGTTTTTATTTTTCGTTGATCTTCATTCCAAACTCTCGACAAGCATCCTTAAGGTGGTCTATAACCCCCTGTAACTTTGTGTCTGTATCAGCCAGTAGGACAGTGTCATCTGCATATCTTATGCTAGATATTGGTTCTCCATTAATTTTTATTCCTGTGGAAAGGTTTTCCAAGGCTTGCTTGAATAGTAGTTCCGAGTAAAGATTGAACAGCATAGGGGATAGTATGCATCCTTGCCTTACTCCTTTATTTATACTAATATTTCTAGATGTATGATCGTCGATCCTAATCTTGGCACTCTGCCTCCAATATAAGTTCTTAATTAATCGGAGATCTTTACTATCCAAGTTGATGCTCTGCAAGGAATTTAACATTTTATTATGGTTTACGCGATCAAATGCCTTTTCAAAGTCTACAAAACATAGAAAGACATCCTTTTGTTGGTCGTAACACTTCTGCTGCAGTACTTGTAGTGAAAACAAGGCCTCTCTGGTCTCCATTCCGGCTCTGAATCCAAATTGATCGTATCCAACTTCTTCTTCACACCTTTTGTATACCCTATTGTGAAGTATTTTTAATAGAATTTTAAGCACTTGGCTCATAAGACTTATTAATCTAAAATCTGCGCATCGCCTGGAGTTAGCTTGTTTTGGAATGGGAATAAAAATAGATTCTAACCATTCCTCTGGTATTTCCCCATTATCGTAGATTGTATTAAACTTAACTAAACAAAATTACTAACAAATCAATGTTATTACTTTCGATCAATTTAAGTATTTCAGGATAAATTTCATCAGTTCCAGGGCTTTTGTTGGTCTTTAATTGTTTAATGGCATATTCCACTTCGACTTTTAGAATTGGTGGGCTTTCAGTAACATTATTTATTGTAATGTCTATTCTTTCATTTCGGAACAGCTGTTGTATAAATTTTTCCCATTCTTCTATTTTATCTTTGGTGTTATGAATTAACTCTCCGTTGTTATTTACCAGTGGGCAATGTTGTTTTTTGTGGATGAATGAAAATTCTTTCACCTTCTTGTACATATTAAAGTAATCATGTCTATGTTCTAATTCTTCTATTTCTTTACATTTTTCTTCGAGCCATTTCTCTTTTGATTCTTTTATTTTCCTTCGTATTTCTGTATTTAATCGTTTGTAATCGATTGTGTTCTTATTTTTGTATTTCCTCCTTTCGTCTATCATCTTTAGAATAGCTGGTGTCATCCAGTCTTTTTTCTTGATTATCAGATACTATGACAATCTCTTCCCGAATATTTTTTATTCAAGATTAACTGGAAGTATCTTTGAATGTTGTATATTGACAATGTATTTTACATTGGTATATTGTCCTGTCGTAATACTAACTTTTATCGAAGGTAAACGGAGAATTGCGTCGAATGATTTCTTCTTCTTTTTCTTTGGTCATCCTAGTTATAATCTTTATTTGTATCCTTTGTGTGAGATGAAATATTATGTTCATAGTATGTTAAACTTCAGCTTGAGCTTATTCAGAATGCACATATTATGCACACAGACGCGAGTCTTTCAAGCTTCGCGAAAATATTTCTTATATATGATGTCACGACAATAGTGAGTCTCACTATTACCATTTAAATCCAGTATCCAGTTTATGATTTTTGGGTTATATTCCAAAATTTTTTCAATTCCAAGTTTTTATAGCTTACCGCAAATGACTCTATCCTGCGGGTTAAGGACTATATATTTAACCTCAGTTTTCAAATCACCTGTGCTTCTATCTATTATGATAGTTTTAGAGTTTCTTTTTCTTTGTGAATGATATTAAGGTAATTGTTAGTAGGGTTAATCTAGAGTTCTCTTTTCCATAATTTATTTGCATAATTCAGTCCCCTCTTGATTATGTAACATAAAATGATTTCGAATCTTCGCTTCGTAATTGATTGAGTTATCAGCGTAACTTTGACTGGATACCTTATGGTTTGCCAAATCGCACAGAAGTTGATCTATTACTGCTATGTATATAAGTAGAAACGGAATTCTCCTTATGAACAAATTCTACTTGTTGAGATGAAGACATTTTCTTGCCCTATTTTTATCTCTATCACTCGTGTACGAAGTCGTTTTATGAGAAGTCTTGTCATATACCCCTTATCATTATCATCATAAGTGGCTCGACAATCCATTGTGGATCTTAGCCTGCTTATAAAGAAGTCGCCACTCCTGTCGATTTCTGGCAACTTCCCTCCATCTTCTGACCCTTAGAATCTGTAGGTCTTCTTCTACACCATCAATCCATCTCATTCGTGGTCGTCCTCTGCTTTTTGTGACCTCTGATTTTGAAAATATTTTCGTGTATTTATGATCTGAGATCCTAGCAATGTGTCCAGCCCATCTAAGTCTGTGCACTGTAATGAATTTCACAATATCTGGATCGGTGTATAACTGATATGATATGTTAGATATATACGGCACGTTTTACATTTTCATTTTGTAAATGTTTCTGAAGACTGTGAACAGTTCTACTTGCTATTGCTATGTGTCTTTTTATTTCATCGCTTGTCGTGTTTGTTGCGTTTACTAGCGATCCAAGATACGTAAATTCTTTGACTTGCTCAAAGGTATGGTTGTTAATTTGAATTCTCTGTTGGATATTTCGAGGGTTTTTATAAACCAACATATATTTGGTTTTTTCCTCGTTTACCACAAGTCCTAATTCACTTGCTGCGTCCGCAAGGCTTGTAAAACACTGCACCATATCTCTGATACTTCTGCCTACTATAACTACCTATATCTTTAGCGAACGCGAGAATTTGCGTCGATCTATTAAAAATAGTTCCATTCATTCTAATATTCAATTGTCTGATTGCCTTTTCCAAGGCAATATTAAAGAGGAGACACACCAGCGCATCCCCCTGTCTTAGAGCATTATTAATATCAAAGAACGTAGAGTTTTCTTCTTCAATTTTAACGCATGAGCTTGCGTTTTGCAGTGTTAGTTGGATCAACTTAACTAACTTAGGTGGGATCACAAAGTCTATTATTGCATTATATAATTCAGTTCTTTTCACAATGTCATAGGCTGCTTTGAAGGCAACAAAGAGACGGTGTGTATCTATGTTATATTCCAGTGGCTTTTCTAGAATCTGCCTATGTGCTTGAATTTGATGTGCAGTTGACTTTCCAGCAATAAATCCGCATTGATATTGACCAACAATATCCTTTGTAAAATGTTTATGTCTATCAAATACACCTTATATATCTAGAAATACACACACCTATATTTTTAAACAAAATTTGTATTTAATATTTGCACCAATTCGGTGTGTAGTTTTTGTCGACTTTTCCGCTTGTTATTAATGCCGACAGGAGTCCAAGGGTCTTTATACCAGAATTACTGTTCTGAAATAATTATTCATGGCTTTGTTCATGACCTTTAAAGCAAATGATTTGAGACTGATACCTCCAAGATATTATTGATATTGTGATAGTCACAGTTACTGTGATATGATGTATAATCTTTTGTAAGAAGGATGGAACAATTCCGTATACTTTCCTAAATTACTATGGTTGAAAGGTATTTATCGCCTACTACAGCCGACTGTTGCTGTGTATGTGTTTACCATTGCAAACACTTATCTTTTTTACATATTTTTCTCACCCACTCCAGCCGACTGATTCTGTGCATGTGTTTACCATTGCAAACCCATATCTTTCGTACATATCTTTCTGGTAGAATTTTTACAATGCTTTGATTTCCGTTGACAACTCTACCCTTCGAAATTCCTTTATGTTATTTTTCCGCAGTGGGCATTATAAAATGTAGCAAATATTTCTAAATAGTAAAATGTATCTAAATAGTGTAGCAATTATGATGTCATTATTCCTCTTTCAGGCTCGAAAATTTTCTCATGCTTGATGAGCTTCAGGTGGACCAATTAGGAAATCAAGATTCACATTTAATTCAATTAGGGAATATTACTCTCCGAAACGCAACATCTACTTGGAAACAAATGAATATAGTACCGACAATATCAGATATTAACTTGCATATTACACCTGGGAAACTTTGCTGTGTGGTGGGTAAAGTGGGATCAGGTAAATCTAGTCTTCTACAAATATTGACAAAGGAGTTACCTTTATTAAATGGCGAGATGAATATTACGGGAAAAGTATCTTATGCTTCGCAAGAACCTTGGTTATTTGCATCAAATGTGAAAAGTAATATACTATTTGGTAAACCACTTTTAAAAGACAGGTATGTAGCATTTCTTTCTTGTCTTTAAATTATTAAAAATTTAATAAGTTAATAAGATTGTTTTTTTTTATAGAATTAATCCGAATTGAATTTGTATTATGCATTAACATAGATTTTAATTTTGCATTTTTGTTGGTGTCTAAAGAAAACGTTTTCCTGTTAAAATGTTTTGAAAATTCTAAACATGTAGCATCAAAGATGAGAAGGATGTGATCTTTAATAATTTCTTTAAGGCAAGTCCTCTACAGTTCTTAATGCTACATAATCAAGACAGCGTCTTTCTCTCTATATCATCTTTTGCTCCGGTTTGTCAGTGAAATGAAATATTTGTTGTTTAAACTATAACTTAGACATGATGTTATCCACATTTTTATTATTTAAACTAATTCTCTTTTGGTATTCATTCGTTACCGTATTTCGTCATTTGTTATGCGTGCTATCAAGAATATATTAAAAAAAATTATATATACACATCTAAAACGCTTCCAGCCGGTTTAGAATTGTCATTTTTAGAATCCCCGTCTCTATACAGTAAAGGAATTAATTCATTGCCGTACTTCGTCATTAGGTATCCATGTTACCCAGAATATATTTGGATTTTTTTTATATATTTACATATAAAACGCTTCCAGCCGTGATAAGAATTGTCATTTTTAGAGCTCAGTTCTCTCTACAGTAGAGAAAGGTCGACCATATGTAGCGCATAGCTGTAATATTAGATGTAAGTCGAAAACGTCACATAACAATCCACGTATACGTATAAAGTTATTTCTGGCTTAATCAAAGCTGGCTTTGACCTCTTTTTTCGAATATCCTTTACATTCAATTCAGCATCCCTTGTACATTTATTTTTAAACTGGTTCTAACAGCTATTTTTTATTATCATAGGTAAAGACACATTGATCATCGTTCTTTATAATTGATATAAATTTTAGATACCAAGAAGTCGTCAAAGTCTGCTGTCTTGAACAAGATTTTATACAACTCCCTTATGGAGATAAAACTTTAGTAGGTGAGAGGGGAACTTCACTAAGTGGAGGTCAAAAAGCAAGAGTAAGCTTGGCCCGAGCTGTGTATACGGATGCAGATATTTATTTATTTGACGATCCGCTTTCAGCTGTGGATACTAATGTGGGAAAGCGCTTGTTCGAATCCTGTATAATGCAATACTTACGTGGAAAAACTAGAGTTTTAGTGACTCATCAACTTCTGTTTTTAAACAAAGCTGATCTTATTGTTGTGATGAAGGATGTAAGTTTTTTTTCTTCATACAATTGTATATTATGATTAAAAGAAGCATAATGATAGGAAATAAGTTGAGAATTTTTAATAAAGTAAATATTACTTTTTATAATTACTTAAAGAATAATAGCTAATCATAATTTTTACCCCTTTTTATTATAACAAATTTTCTACTTTTGATTCGTATAGTATGATAAGTGTACGCTTATAATCAGGAATTAACATTCATTTTTTATCATTGAGAAAAAGAAAGAGATACCTGCGGTTTCTAAAAAATTTATGACCATCTTGGTCCCTTTAAAGTTGTATTTTCCTTTTAGAAAAGGGAAAAAGATTGGGTTTGCTCGGAAAAATATTCCCATGAGATTTTTTGCTTATTCACTTTTATGAGATACCCTAAAATAAGATTCACGTGGTCTCCCAGGCGAAAAGTTGTTGCGAAAAAAGCATTCATTTTTAATAATTTTTTAAACAAATTGTAACAATGAATTTTTTCGGTTCAAACCCATTCTTTTTTTTGGGCCATTCTAAAGAAAATTGGTTTCTTATAATTTATCTTTAAAATTAATCGTTTTGGAGGTATAAACAATGTAAAACTGAGAAAACGCAATAGTAAGATTTATAAGACTCAAAACCAAAACTAAAAAATATTATTTTTGAATTTACCAAGGACCTAAATTCTAGATAAAATCTTGTTCTATTATTTCCATTTAAGTATTCTGAGCTTATTTAATTTTAATATATAGTTTTTAATCGTTAATGAAGCGGCTATTAGGGGACGGGCGCTCAGGTTGTGGTGGTATAAGAAAGAGAAACAAGATCTATGGCACACATTTTTGCTGGTTTGTATTTTCATTGTACAAATGAGCGCCCGACCTGCCATTTATTAACAATAAAAAACAATACTTTAAAATAAAATAAGCCCAGGATTTTTATCGGGAGCTTATAGAAGAAGTCTTGAACTTGTATTTAGGCACTTTGAGATTTAAAAAAAAAAAAATTTATTTGCGATTTTGAGCGTCGAAAATCGTCATTTTGCTTATTTTCCATTAACAATTAAAAACAATATTTTAAAATAAAATAAGCCCAGAATTTTTATCAGGAGCTGATAAAAGAAGGCTTTAACTTGCATTTTGGCAATTAATGATTTTAAAAATAATATTTTATACTTGTGGTTTTAAGCTTTTAAATCGTAATTTTGCGTTTTTTTAAGTTTTAAATTATTTATTACTCGAAAACGATCAAGTTTACAAAAACACACATTACAAGAGGCCGGAAAAATTTTGTTCGAAATGATCCAAAAATTAAAAAAAAAAAACTTGTCCGGACCGAAAAAATTAATTGGTACAATTTCTTTAAAAAAATTGTTTAAAAAAATTTGAACAACTTTTCGCCTGGGCGACCTCTTGAACCTGATTTTGGGATATCTCATGAAAGTGATTATGCAAAAGAATCTCATGGGAATATTTTTTCGAACGAACCCGAGCTTTTCACCTTGTCTATATGCAGTGTAGGGAGAGTGTTGTACCTTGTGACACTTTTTTGATCTGTAACTATTTTACTATTTATTGTATTGAGTTGGGATTTAACATAGCAAATTAGCAATATGTTTCTTAAGCACCAATGTATTTAAAAGCTTTAAAGAAATATGTTTAAGGTACAAATTTATTCATTTTTAATTTGGTGTAGAATGGACCGAGGTACAGTTTGGTTTTGTATATTTTATAATTAACGTGATATTACAACTTAAAATGCATAAAAATAAAAATAGTAAATAGGGTTAACATTTTCGACAAGCATAAATAAACTGTTTCTTTCAGATCTAAATTTTACTCAAACGAAACTCTTAAAATTATTTTTTTAAAGAAAAAAAGCAAAATTTGAGCTTGACGAGCTGTTCCACTAACGTAAATTGGAGGGCGTAATTTTGCAATTACATCTTCTTCAAGAAAATTAAAGCTTGTAGTGGTATCATTGAAGAACTTATAGGTGTTTTTTACCGACGTTAATATTTTAGTTCGTTTTCGGCGTCACAACCTATTATTTCAGCTAAATAATAACGAAACCTTTTTTCCCCTGAACTTTCACCAATACAAAGTCGCCAGCTGTTAAATCAGCATTTCCAAACTTGTTCTCCAGCAGTGTTGCTTCTTCCTCTCTTTGAATATGCTCCTTCCACTGCTTTTACTGCTAAGGGATAAGTTTTTATTTTCGGATTCTGAACTTGATGATAATTCCTTCTTGGTGTCCTTAGAAGTAAAAGTTTTTCTTCATTTGATAAACTCTTTTGCGTAGAATGTCCAAAAATTTGCCTTTCAGTATTTTTAAGAGTAGTTGGTTTTACTTTTTTCAACTGTGATATTTCATATTTTTCGGGAGTGTCTGTCAATATGTTAGATTTCCATCATGGTCTTCCTCCACTGACCTTTTTTCGGGAGGTGCTTTAGGAAATGAACATAGCATTTATGGAGTAACAGCAACACATGGAAGCTTTTGGAAATGCTTTCCCTATTAACTCTGCAACTTCGTAGATACTTATAGGCTGCCCTGAACCCTGAAGCGTGTGGCTTGTGTAAGGATGGAAAGTAACCAATGTTATGCCATTGCTTTAACAAAACTTAATCACTGGTATATTAACGTGACTATCATGGTTGTCAAAAAGTAAAATAACTGGGTCTTCAATAGATGGTTGTACATGACATTTAAAATGCTCCAGGAACTGCAAAAAAGTGACTCATTAGACCAGCCAGATATATTGCCACCTCCAACTGTACCTACAGGAGCTCCTTTTAATATATGATATTTGAAATGTACTCCAGGAAACACAATCATTGGTGGAATATGAGTACCAGAGGCATTTACTGCCGCAATTACAGTAATATTCTGTCCTCTTTCTTCACTTGTCATCTGTCCAAGTTGTTTTATGCCTTTTGGACCGATTATTTTAGGAGGGACATGGACGGTTGTAAAACCAGATTCATCACAGTTCCAAATTTTGTTTGGCGAAAATTCATTTCGAGACAGAGCTCTCTTGTAATTTGTAAAAAATGAGCTGGCATTGGCTTTATTAAACGAGGTGGATCTTGCTAGGCTTGTAGGCTCCGGTTTTTGCAGTGATAATTCTATTGTGTAACGCCTTAGGAAATATCTTTTACCAGTTTTCTTATTTTGCTCCTATGATGATGGAAACTTTTTATCATTTGCAACAGCGAATTGGTAAGCAAAACAACGAACCTCCATTCTTGTTAAGATCTGCTGTTATTAAATCATCTTTCAAACTATTTTTTTCTTCAATTGAAAAAACTTGTTGAGTTTTATTGCCTCGTACCTTCTAAATTTTTATGTCTAGTCATGTGCCTAATAAGTGTTGTATTAGACACATTATAACAGCGAGAAGCTTCCCGTATGGACATTTCACCATTGAGAGCGTTTTCTACTGCACACTTGATATTGCTTGGATTAATAGGTTGTCCTTTATTTCCGCTTTTGTTGCGAGGAATGGTTATCTTTATTCTGAAAAAGAAAACTTAGTTTAGTATTTATTTCAAAAAGTATACTTATAGGTCAGGGTTGTCCAACTGGCGGCCCGCGGGCCGCATCCGGCCCGCGAGGCTATTTGTTGTGGCCCACGTAAGATTCTCGAAAAGCATATATTTTCTTTAAATGCTGTCACTGTGAAAAATGTTTTTTTATTTTATTTTATATTTTATGGTTTAGCAGTGTTTTTACATCACAAGTACTGTACCGCGTGCCGCTTCGTGGACTTGTAACGAACACAATCGTCATCCACAACTATGAGAACTGCACTGATTACTGCGCATTACAGTTCACGCAGGCCACACCCCCCACTGCTTACCATCCGTCGCCAGCCGCCATCGTGCGAGTGTGCTAGTGACACGTAGGCTAGTCGGCTAATCTATTACGTTGCTAGTGAACAGTAAACTTGATTAATTCTTTGTCTTGATTCCTCTTATACAATAATGAGTGTAAAACCAGTAAAACGGAAAATTGATATTGAGAACAGAATTTACAAAGAGAGTTGGGAGAGTGATTACTTGATTGCTAACAATAATGGAAAGTTGCAGTGCTTAGTATGCATGAATGTCGTTTCAGTGCCTAAAGAATATAATGTGAGAAGACATTACACAACAGTGCATAAAAATAAGTATGCTACGTATAAAAATGAAAGTCGGCGTACCCTAGTTGCAGATTTGAAGAAAAAGCTTAAACAGCAAACTGGTATATTCAGTAAAATATTACACTCTCAAACGCATTATTTGCATGCATCTTATGCCGTGTCGCTTGAGCTGGCAAAGGCAAAAAAACCTTTCACTGATGGCAATTTGATTAAAAATGTGCTGTTGAAATGGCCAAAGCTTTCGGTGATCCTAAAATAGAAACAGTGGCTAGTGGAAACAGAGGCCGAGTATGGAGATTTGCTAATGTACAACCATGTAAGGTGGCTGAGTGCAGGAAAGTGCATTTAACGAGTTTTTGCCATAAGAAAGGAAATCCCTGCATTCCTCAACAAATACGTTTCATCTGAACTGGAAGAGAAGTTTAAGGATCAAGAATTATTCAGACAGTTAGCTTTTATAACAGATCTGACTAATCATCCTAACATGTTAAACTTAAGCCTTCAAGGAAGAAACCAGACGGTTTCAGATTTGATCGAAATGATAAACGGATTTTGGAATAAGCTGTTTAAACGTGCTTTGGAAAAGAACAACCTGACACACTTCCCTCACTGTCTGAAAATAGTAGAAGAATTCAACGGTGAGGAAAATATTGAGTTTTTATCCTGCATTTCACAAATTGAACAAGGTATTGATGAATTAAATACAAGATTTAAAGAAATTGAAAGTCTCAAAAGTAGTGTACTATTTTATAATAAGCCTCTTGGAGCAACCATTAATGATCAACCACCCAACTTACAGCTGCTTGAGTTATGTGATCTTCAAGCAGACATGTTCCTAATCACCAGACCCGAAAGGGTACCTGAATTTTTCAAATAACTGTCAAAGGAGAAATTCCCAAACCTGCGAGATTTTGGACTAAAAATGACGTCAATGTTTGAAAGCACATATACATGCCTTTTCCTCCATGAAATACATAAAAAATAAAAAGAGAAGCAACCTTACCGATTCTTCCTTACGTCATCTTATGAGAGTGTCTACAACTGAACTGGAGGTGGACATTTCTTCATTGGTGGATGAAACCGATCGACCACAGTCCTCACACCAATTGGATAGATCTTTTTCGTTGCTTTTGCAATGTTTGTCTTGATTATTGAAAAGTGTTATCAATAAATTTTCCGTTTATAAAAAGATGTAGTTGTTAAGCAATAAAAGAAATAAAACTATTTTTTGTTTTAATTATTTTTATACCTCACTTTATTTTGTTATTACTTGTAACAAAATTATTATATGGCCCGCGACAACATCAAAGGTTTTAGTTTTGGCACTTGAGGCATTGCAAGTTGGACACCCCTGTTATAGGTATATAAAAACAACACAAAATCAGATAATAAAATAATTCAAAAATTATGGCATTGGCATTATAGACCGGTCCAAGGTACAAGCCCTAAACTAGGTCCGAGGTACAAAGTGGTGGCATCCTATAAAACTACAATTTATAATTTGGCATAAAATTGAGTACAAATTACTTACCATCAGATAGGATGATTACAGATTTAAAATAAACTAAATTTTTACACAGCTACACCAAAATAAACATAAACAATACTGGTCATCCAAATATTCATTCATAACGTTTAAATAACACTTTATCGCCCTCTATGACTGGTGGAAACAATTAGCAACAGATTTTGAAATTATGTGTCCATTAAAATTTATCACAAATAAGACAAACTGGCATATGCGAAAAAATGAATTAGGTATTATTGTAAACAAAAATTTAATTATTATTAATTGATAAGGTTTTATTTAAATGTTTTTTGTAAAATATAATTAATTGGTAAAATTGTGTAACTTTTCAGGGAAAAATAGAAAAAGTAGCTAAACCCAGCGAGTTTACTGAGAGCGAGTTAAATCTAATACAAAATGATACTTATACGACTGAAAAAGATAATAAATTAGATGATCTTAAAATTGAAAAAATCGACTCAATTATGTACGAATCTAGTGAATCGATAAAGGTAAGTGAAAAACAAAGTGAGTTCCACTAAATAAAGTAAGCGACGCGACGTCGTACATTATACATATTATTTTGGATTAGATTTGTGAAATATAATTTAAACACTAAAACAATTCAGAAACATCTCGATATCAACTTACCAAAAATACTTTTTGTAAATTCCAATCTATTAATTTTATTGCGTTGTATTATAACTACTTAAAGTTATTATAAACAAAATATAAAGTAGTGGGGTATAATGAACTGTACAATTTTACATCTAAAGTAACAAAAACAGATTATAAATAATTCATTAAATTTTGAATATGAGACGTTTTCACCTACATTTCCGCAGACATATCTTCCACTTTGTGCACGAAAATTTTTATTTAAACCTACAGGGTGTGACCTACCTATTGCGAAAGCGACTAGTATTAGATTATTTACAGGGTGTCAAAAAAAGTTTGATTATAAACTATAATGTGATTTTAAGGGATGAAAATAAGTAGATTTGGCCTTACTTATGTGCATTCATCCAGCAAAAGTTTCGGATTGTTACAGTTACAAAATAAAACCGAATTATTTAATATTTCTCCAAAACGGTTTAAATTTTTTTTATAAGACTTTATAGTATGAGTTAGCATGTCCTGGCCAATAAAACCGAAGTAGCGAACATTTTTTTATGATTTTACTAGATTTTAGGAGGTCTTCAAACTCTCCCCCCTTCCTAACTTTTTGTAGTATAACATTGGATTAAAAACGGGACGTCAATAGAATAAAATACTTATTTTACAATTTTTTTATCTCTTAATATTTGTTTGTAAAATCATTAATTTGGAAAATACATCCACTTTTTAAATGTAAATCCAAAATTAAGCAAAAATAATACAATTTACAGATATTCGTTTACAGCTTATTATTCGAGTAGGCAAATTGTTGCTGTGATCCCTATCTTGATAGTGATTTGACAGTTATTGTAAATGAAAGATTTGTTTGAATTAATCAAATTGAAAATGAAATGTTACAGTTTTCCTAAAATGGCAGGATAATAATTTGATTTACATGTGATTTTTTTTTTAATTTTCCGTATTCATTGTTTAAACGATGTAGAGTCTGCATACAGGAAGGGGAGGTCACCGTGAACACTTTTTAAATTAAGTTAATATATTTTCTGTTTTTAATTTAAAGTTAATAATGAATTTAATATTTGTAAAAATGTACTATTGCATTTTAAAAAGTGGCTTCTTCTAAGTTAATGATTATACAAACAAATAATCACAGAAAAAAAATTGTAAAATAGTTATATCATTCAATTGACATCCCCTTTTAAATCCAATATTATACTACAAAAAGTTGGGGAGGGGAAAGGTTTGAAGATCCCACGAAAATCTAGAAAAATTAAGAAACATTTTTTCAATATTAATCATCAAACAAAAATAGTAAATTATAATATACTTTTAAGAATTACTATTACACACATCATGTAAAACAAATGTGTTACACTTTATCAACACCCTTTTAAATTTGGGTATTCATTTAAGATGTGCAAATTGGTTTTTTTCCTCTTTCAACTCTGTGCATTCTTTGTAATAGTAAATCTGTTGTTGTTCTCGGAAATCGCTTAAATAAAGAAGTCATCCAAATTCTGATCTCCACTTCCATCTGATTTATTAAAACTTTCCAATTTAATTTGTTTTTGGCCACAGTTATAATACATTTTTTGATATGTTCTAAAGTTTTTTATAAGTTTTTACAATATTGTACCACTTTAGGCTTAAGCAGCCTAAATTTAGAAAAAAAAGCACTGCAGCTATAGTTGGATCTTCTGTAACGACATATTTTGTTTACCCCAGGGTTAAGAAGGAGCAAACAAAATAATCGATACTGGTGCGTACGGCACTCAGGGGTTTGTTGGAGAGCTGGGTCGTGGATAAGTTAAATCAAATGGGTCGGATTAGGGTAACTACAAAAAGAAAACAAAGAGATACTTACATTTATATCCTGGAACCAAACGAACAAAATATGGACAGACAAGAAATACCTCGAGCTATTTTCTATTATTCGGACGCCGCTTCGAGAAAACTTCCTGCTGGAAGAAAGAAAAAATCGTCTTTCCTAAAATCAAGAATACACACAAGGAATAGGAGACTTTTCTAAATTAAAATAAAAAAATGGATCAGAAAAATAAATCAAACGCTTATTTTTGTCTCAAACAAACAGTTATCAAAAATACAGATTGCACAAAAACATACCATCTAACATAATACAAAATTAACAAAAACTTACGTGTTTATCTGTTTACAAAGGAGATTATTACAAAAATTTTCGAAATGGTTTAGGTTATTTATTAATATGGTCAAAATAGATTATTAAAATTAAGGATATCCTTGTAAATGAAAATATCGTAAAATTTAACCTTTTCTATATAATCAAATTATCTTTCACAACAAAAAACAGATTAAAGTCAACTGTCATACGTCAACAAAACAATTTAAGACAGGATAATATTATGACATTTTTTAGCCACGCCTCTAACATGTATAATTTCAATTATTACAAATTCTTAATTTTAAAATGAAAGCAATTATTGCTACTTAAAAAAATGTCTATTTTACTTTGAAAATTAATATATTGAATGTCACCTTAATTTCACATATTTCGCACTTAACTTTAAAAAAAAATTGCTAATATCTCTAGGATTGAAGCTACCTGGACAAATTCTCAACAGGAACAAAAGAAACCATTTCTATAATCTGGAACGACGGTCAAAGACGCAAACTAGGTTGGAGCAAGCAGACGACAAACGAAGCTGGTGAGGATATCCTATATACTGCTTTCGAAATTCCATCAGTTTCCGGTACACTGCACAAATCTTAATGTGGTTACTCTGTTCTAAAATGCCATTTTTACCAAGAGTAAATTATCACCTTGACCGGTCTTGAAACTTGAAACTTAATTAATCACCACAAAAATTTTGCTGGCTCCTCTTTAGAAGTCTGACACCTCTTCTCAAATCGAATGTCCCTGCTTAACTAAAAATCTTTCCTTAGACTCCAAACCAAACGCAATTCAAATTCCGCTCACGTCTTGGAACCAGTTCGTACTTACGAAGTGAAACAATCATCATACCTCTCGCCAAATAACCTTGAAACATACTACTTTTAGATAGGTAGAAATAACACGTATTATAGTGATTATTTTAACGTCCTAGTTTTAACCGGAATATGGAAATTTTCTACCTCACAATGTATACAGAGAATTTGGGGATTTCAATGTAAATAAAGACAAAAATATTTATGTTTTGCCTATCTCTTCAAACAACCTTGAAATATTCCCAGCGTTATTACGTCTAGAAAACTGAATACTAAACTTGCTATATTATCGACCGTTTTAAAATTTCTTTGTAAAAGACAAACACAGATTTGCTGGTAATTTTTAATGCGTACTACAAGATAAACAACTCAGGGGCGTACTATAAAACTTTATACAGAATTTATATTATTATATAGATATTAAATATTATAGATAGAAACAAATTTAAAACGCTACACTTCTAAATTCAAAATGTCAGCAAAACGAGTATTAAACCTTTTGATGCAAATTTTTGATCTCCTACATAGTTCAATTTCTTTGGGCAAAAAGTTTCTCATATTTATTAATTAACAAAACTCACCTGGGTGACAAATCCAAAAGATTTCCAAAAGATTTCAAAAGAAATCCAAAAGATCAATTTATTCAACAATTGCATGATCTCAATGTACAGTCTCCGTTTAATATCCTTAGTCTCTCAGCTAATGGAAATGAGAGAATTTATAATGCATTAGTAGAATTTCTGTCAGGTACCAAAATAGTCTTGTAGTGTCAACTATCAAAAAAATATATGTATATGCAAAATTGTGGCGAGCAACTTGGACAGTCCATAGCAAAGCAGCTGTCGAATTGAGTAGATAGCTGCTCAAAAGTTTGCTGTGAAACTCTGAGAACCTCATCATCTTCTTTATATGTAAATATAGATAAAAAGAGATAATACAAAAAAGTTTGTATTTTGAATTATATTATGTGTACCATTTTTTGAACACACTGATGATGTCAAAAAGATGCTATATATTTAGCTTTTATCCTATTTTAATTTTAGCTCTTAAAGCATATTTTTCAGCTCTTCGTTATTGATATTTTATGGACCTTACGGTTATAAAATTTTTATCTTTAAGATAATAGTCTTGTTGTAACTGGCTCATTGACACCTAGTCTATGCCAATAAAAAAGACTATGCTGAAGTTGTCATTAATAAAATAATTTAAGATTTCTAGTCCCTTAGAACAAGTCAAATTGTTTAAAAAATTCGTTTTGGAGAGCCAACGGAATTAATAATTCTTTTCGAAGTGAGAAAGGACCTAAAAGCAGCAAGATCAGCTTTCACCTCAGTTGAGCTAATTTCATAGACATTGTTCAATTCTAGAATGGATTTTTCGTAGATCTTTAGTCTTAGCATGAAGTTCTTCGGAAGCCAAAATGCTTGTGTTGGTGAATCCTTCGTAACATATTGAAGTAGGTTGGTCATGTAGAAAAGCAAGATGTAGCTTAATGGCTTTCAAGATATCCGGTTTATTTATTCTTACTAGAAGATATCGACCATTATTCGAGTTATTGGTTAATCTAATTCTTGGTGCTTGGTGGGGTCCCAGTATATTGCTTAAAAGGAATCAGTAGGTTCACTCTTGCATTTTCACGGTTCCAATTTAGAATCCACTCCTAGGTTCGTGCGCAATGGATTTGGCGAAAAATGCCGCTGTTGCAAGATTTAAAATGTTCCATCAGTTTCAAAGAATATTCCAAATTCTCATAACTCAAACTATTATTTCGTAAAAGTAACTTTATATTTTAAACATTCATATACATATTTCGCAAAAAAAATTGTAACACTGTGCGCGATGCCTTGAGGAAAATATATTTGGTTATGTTGAGTGTTGTAAACTAATCGTTCCCCCAAAGTTTATTAAATCAAAATGAAATAGATTTGTA